AATAGATTAGAAATGTGCCATTAAAGCATATTTATGTACCAGCATAAAACACCTCAGTATTTAAAATGAACAAAAATGAAAATAACAACGAAAAATCTACCAGTCTGGAACTCAGCTACTAAAAGGACAACATCCACACAGGCATATAGAACTCATCACTATCAGAATCCAATATCATTAAAAAAATGTTGACTAACACTTGACCCTAACATGGGTTTTTATGAAGGACTTCAGAAAGATTCTTTATAAAGAGCTTTTCCTATTGCAGTGGAGTGATATATTTTTTTAAGTATCGAAAAAAGATATCTCTCTTCCCTCCCATATACTTGCATTTCAAATCTTGCAACATTGTGCTAGGGCACAATCAGAAATCTTTCCTGCTGAGCAGAACAATTGCTTTAATCATAGTTATTGTAGCCTACCTCAAAGTTAAATATAATTATTAAAATTTAAAGAAAGCAGCAACCCGAACCCCCCAGGTATTCTAAAGTGCACAAGGACAATAGCTTGCTGCTTGATTACACAAAGGGAGATTGTTGTTTGGACTTTGTCAGCACCTGGATGAAACACTTCTGGCTTAAACCCAAGGCAGACAGCTGTGATGATGGCTGGCTGGAAGGAAATGTTCTCTTCCTCCACTACGAGACGTATCTTATCTCCCATTGCCAGAACAACATGGAGTCTCATAGTCCCATGCAACCCGTCAGTAAGTCTGACTGACTGGATAGTATCTCTAGTCTTTAGATCTTTGTCTCCTAGCGAGTTGCTGCCAGCCTCACCTCTTTCCTGTAGTGGCAGTCCAGTTATGTGAGGAAGACAACATCACACCCGAGCTATGTGGCATGAATTCTGGGGGAAAAAATGAAAGGATGAAGAGTTTCAGAGTTAAGCTTCATTAGTGGACTAGAGCCAATATGAGCATGGTCACTGTATGGAATAATAACCACTAAAACCCTTGGTTTGGATGTTATTGTCATTAACTGTGAGGAGACACTGCCATCAGCAGCTGCAACTTGATCTGCAATATTTCCATATCAGCCTTGCTCCTCAAGCCATGGAACCTCATGGAAAAGGAGAGTCACATGGAACTGGAGAGAAGGTGCTCACTTCTGAGAGAAGAAGGCTTCACCATGCAGCAAGACTCCAGATGAAGCTTTGATCTGGAATTTGTTCTTTTGCATGAATGCTGGGATCCATCTTTTTGATAAAACTTCCTCATCAGGGCAGACTGAGGAAATTCTACATTTCCTTTATTTTGAAGTTATGAAACTGGCACTCAGCTGCTCAAAGCCAGTGCAGTTGCATCAAAGATAGAGAGCTCTTCCAGCTCATACTGAATGAGGATCTGGAGCAACAGATGTATGTGTCCCAAACACAGCCAAGAAAGGCAGAAAAGCAGAAAGTGCAAAGAACATCAGTAGAATTAACAGCTGTGCAATCCTTCAGAGAGATACATTTGGAGTAAGTCTATCCACTTTCATGTAATTACCCTGTATTTGCACCAGAGTCATGGAGAAGAAGCTGACCACTGTGTGAAGAAGTACTTTATCTCAGACTGATATCTAGAATGCAGCTTTGGGCCCACACAGAAAGGGCAATTTCCCAGGACTRCACTTTGGCCTAAGAACAACCACAGTCCTGCTAATTACAAGCCTGATAACCAACCGYTGTATGTTGCCACTGAAAGAAGGATTAGAGAATATGGAGCTGAAGGTGATGGCTTCTTCCAGCAACAGCAAGAACAGCACACACAGTTCTCCAGGGCCCCCTATTGCCATTTCAGATTACTTTCTTTGCAGGTTGCTGATGATCCATTTTCTCCATGCTGCTGAGAAGCCCTAAGCCAGCTCCAAAGGGCAGGTGAACATAGCTCTAATTCAGTTTTAAAAGAGGTGGTAAGGATATTGTATGCCAGGGGGCAATCATTAACAGAAAGCGTACATCTGATTGGGGCAGAATTCCTTCTGAGGTGGGGGATAATGTGTCCCTGCGACAGGGGCATGGTGACATGACATGTCTTTGTTCTCCTCCTGCCATAAGGAACTGAAGAAGTCTACGTTAAGTATTAGCCAAATAGATGCAGCTCATACCTCTCTCTTTAGATACTGAGTGATCTGGAGTTTTTGTGTTTTTTTTTTTTTTTTTTGGTCTGGCAGTTGCTTATTTCAGCTGAATGGACCATATCCTCACTTCACACACAGTGGACAAGCAATAAACAAGTGGGTGCACAGAAAGCCACTCACATTCAACTTTATTTAGGGGCAGATACATCCCCAATCTGTCTGGGGATGGGGAGGGATGAAATGAAAGAGGCACAGAAATGGTCACTGACATGGGCACTGCAAAAGCCACAGAGACATAACTTCAACACCAGAGGCTGGAGCAAGTATCCTGCTAGGTGGAGGGCAGAGGAGGAGAGAGACAAGATGAGAAGGCTGAAGTCCACCTTTCATCCTCCCTTATTCCCCACTGGAATCTTCTAGAATGGCTATCAGGGTATCTTCAATTGACTCCAATGCCAACGAAGAAGCTGAATCTCAAGCTTCAAGTCCAATCCCACACTGTGTTTGAACACCAAATAGATTTCACTCTACCTATACAAGGTGGAGGGAAAGCATCACAGCTTGGAGAAGGTTTGTTACTCTGCAATTCAGGACAAAGTGGGTAAAAGGCCAACTGTCCTTTAGGACGAATGAGCTTTTAAAATCAACAATAGCCTTTAATCCATGCACCTACTCGGAAGCACCGAAGGACTGTTAATAAAAYCTTACATTCTCTAAACCACGTGAAAGATGCAACAGATTTGCTCAACGCTGACTTTTAAGACATCACAACACAAGACACAATACAAAGCTGTACCTTTCTTGCTTAACAATATTATGTTTAACATGATCCCATAAACTACATATCAAGTTTACTGCAAAGATAAAGACATCTGATCTACATCTGAGATATTTCCCTTTTACTTTCAAGGCAGTCAGGGAGGTTCTTTCACTGCCTTTATGAATATCTGCTCCTCTCCCACCTTCACCTGATGTTTCGAYAGTGGCTGCAGGCGTATTACAGAATCTGTTACCTTGACTTTGAAAGCAGTCTCAGTTTTAACACCTCTGCCCACCCGCAACAAGGGAGCTCTGCAGGTGCGAGTTAGCTGCCAAGAAAGCACCATCTCCTGCTCTCTAGAGCTTCCCTCCGAGGCACATGGCAGCAGCACGCAGGTTTATTCTCCCTCCATGACCTTGAAGCAGAGTTACACCAGTACAATGTGCTTTAGAAAAATGCCAGACATTTACACCACTCTTGCCTCAGGATTAGCAACACTAAGATCAGATGAAAGGAAGTTCTTACACTCCTGTTTTTGCCATTTCTAAAATAACAGTAATTTCAACTTTCCTGTTACAGAAGTMTCATATAATGTGGGAGGCAATAGGTGCTTGGAAAAGAATAATGTTAAACCATTCTGTTCATGTTGCTCATATCTATYGTTCTTGCTAGGCTTATGTACCTGAAGATCTCCTACCTGAAAAGCTTGTATGGAGTCCTTGTGGTCCTAAAAACATACCTATTTTTTCTCAGTGATATCAGCAGGTCTACTGAAAAACACTGGTAAGAAAGGCAAGGTTTCTAAGGAGGGGTGTCTGATGCCATGTCCTCTAGGAAGAGCAGAACACAYGCTCTCCTCAAAGAGCTCTGTGAAGTTGTGACAGCCAGTGGAGCCTGCAAACTTTATAGAGAGCACACAGCTTTAATCACTTAACCCAAATCTTCCCCCGGTCTTTCTCATATATATATATATATATTTTTTTTTTTTTAAATTATCTTTCTCAAGCAAGGTAGGCAGCTCCCCATGTTCCTCCATTTCTAAATGAGTGGGTTAGAGGCACACAAGCAGAAATGACAGATGAATCCACTTGTTCCAAGAAAGCCTGACCTCTGCATGTTTCATAGAGGGATCCTTTTAGCTTCAGTGGATGTGACAGATGTAGCATTGCTACTTCAGGAAAGAGAACAGATCCCCCTAGCAAAGTCCATGACTAAGAATTATAAGCACAATGTTTCTTATTTGTGCCTTTAACTAGCTTGAGATTATATAGTCTTTTGGGGAAGTGAAACGATTATTTTTTTCAGAAATTTCTTTAGCACTACTGCATACAGAGAACTTTTAATCACTAAGAAATTACTGTTGTCTCTGTAAAACTGTATCTGAGCTTTTTTATCATTAAATATACGCAGGAGAAATGACAGAAATATCTTGATTTATCTGTTATCATCATGGCACTGCTGCAAAAGAAATATAAAAATCAAAAATTTACCTAAACGTATGGAATTTTTGGGCATAGTTCTTGACAATACTGCTTTGTCGCTAGAGACATACTCTAGAGCTAGGTTGAAAAGTTCATAGCATATATATATTTTTTTCAGTGAGTTAAGGCTTATCCCTGTTTCCATGCAACAAAAGCTGGTGCTGCCTATCCTTTCTAAAGACCAGAGCCAAACCTATGGAAAGCATTAGAGATCCTTTACAGAAGRACAACTGTCAGCAGGGCTCCTTCTCACTTAAAAAAAAAAATACTCAAAGAAAACTGTGTCAGCATTATGAATGAGGTGATCCATTTGCATACAGCCACACAGAGCAAATTTGCAGTGCTTCCACTTCCAAGAAGGCTGACTGACAAACCCCTACCTCAAACAACAGAAGACAATCTCCAACTCTGTATGTTCAGCTGCCCTGCAAGTGCCTGGGGCAGGAATTAGAGAGTGCAGAGATTCCACCTCTTGTGTGCACCAAAACAGAGCCCAAGTGCAAAACAAACTGTTCAGTTCCAGAATTTCCAGAGAATACATACTTGGCTTTACCCCAAGAGGGGGAAAAAAGGAGGAGGAGAAGAGATCACAGCCCACTTTGGACTAAGCATAGCCAACTCCTCCCCTCTGAGCCACATATCRGCTGTATCACCACATGCAGCCACAGGTTTTGGTTACCTAAAGCTACCATCAGGATGCGAGCTAGACAGCTGGTGTGTGGCATTTGGAGTCTRTGTTTCATGTTCTGCCTTTTCTGCGTTTTTCTTCACGAAACCACTGCTAAACGAAAACTGAAGTTTGTATCATTAGTAAGTAGACGGTTCGCGGACAAATGGAATCTCTTCAAAATTTATCACTTATTGTTTTTAGTCTGCAATGGGGGACATTGTGAATATTGAGATGTTTGCTGAATATTCAAAATCCACTATTGCATTCTATGAAGAGAGTTCCAAATTTTAAATAAGATTTTGTGATTTTGTCTCCTTTCATAGCTCTCAATGAAAGTGACTTTCTGGATTGATAAAAACTGCCTTTTTATTTACTGCCGTAAGAAAGGAATCCAACAAGATTCTTAACTTGTAAAACAGGATTACATAACTGACTTGAACCTTTTGCAAAATTCTTCTGTGCCATGGAAAAAAAGAGTGGGGAAAAAAAAAAAACCCAGTTGTGTTATATGAAACTCAAAATAGTATATATTGCGTTGAATAAATAACATGAAACTGATGCTGTAAGTTAATGCTATTTGCAATGATGATTACAACATATCTGTGATCGTAGGAGGCCTAAATTTGGTCTGCTCTAAGTATTGCACATACATGTAAATTAATTTTGTGCTGCAGCTCTTAATTGTATTTATCTCCCTATTTTGGGATAAAAGCTGTCAGTAAAATTCTGAAATTATAAGACATACATCTACAGGAATTATACTGCATCATGTGAGAATTCATTGCATAAATTAAAAATCTAGATTTACCTTTATTCACATATGTTTTGGGAAAAATGAAATTTCAGGGCATGTTCAATGTTCTCATAATAACAGTCAAGCCTGTATTACCTATTTGCTACTTCCAGCACCTCTGGCGCCTGCCAACACAAGGCTTTTTAAGGGTGATTTCTGCCAGGAAAGAATGATTAGCAACAGTCTGCCAAGGAACTGTATTTAAAGCAATAGTTTGATTTTCTTCTTTCTGGATTCCTACTTAGTCCTAACAAACTATTGACACTGCAMTATTTCTGAAAGCAAATATGTAGGCTTTTCTATTGGCTTTGTGTCTAATTAGTTTTGTGGTCTATACCTCTCAAAGTTTTCTGATCTCTCTAAAATCTATATTATAACTTGCAAAAGTTTCTACGAACTAGCTGCTTTCAAATGCAGTGGGAAAAGAAAAAGCTATTAAAATTATCTAAATAAACCAGTCAGATAGATATTGTAGCTATAAAGACCCAAGAATGCCATGRATATATTTTTCACCTGTCAGATACAGTACTCACTGTTGATGCACTGATTATGATCACAGTATAACATGAAAGCAGCTAACATGAAAGCAATTCCATCTTTTTTGTCAGGTATTTCGCCATGGTTATGATACCCCACAGGACTTTTTTCCAAATGACAAGCATAAAGAAGTTATAAGGCAGCACGGATATGGACAACTTACCAAGGTTTGCTTGCTTACCCGCATTAATATACTTACATATTTGAACATACTAGTGTCTGTTAGCATTTATTTGTTGGAAATTTTAGTTTTTAGTTTCAAGAAAGCCCATATTATTATCACTACAACCCACTCTCTCATAGGCCAAAAAAGTTGCTARGAAGCTACAGCTGTGAGAAGCCAATTGCTTTAAATGAGTACTTTAAGTGCAACAGCAGCATACACGGAGCTGTTGAACTGCAGGCTGCTGTCTTTGGGGAAGAGCCAGGCACCAAGGAGCATTGCAGTTCAACCAAGCACTTACCCAGAATCACAGARTGGTTGAGGTTGGAAGGGATCTCTAGAGATCATCTAGTCCAAGCCCCTGCTCCAGCAGGAACACATGGAGCATGTGGCACAGGGTGGCATTCAGGCAGGTTCGGAAGACCTGCAGAGAAGGAAGCTTAGCTTTAGCTATCAGCAGCATGAAGCACTCACAGACCACCCTCCATGTCTACTGAACAGAAACACTTCCTAGGGCATGAACTTCCTAGCAGAAGTTTCTCCCATGCTAAGTTAGGGAGAGCKGGTTTAAAAGTTGGCTGTTGTGGTGCAGGTGTTGGTGGACACAGGGCAGCCCTGAGTGTCAGCTGAAGGTAGTGACTAACAACAAGATGACAACTGCAGAACCCAGCTGCAAAATCAGTCTTTCTTAAGTTAATTTGGGGGCTGCAACCCAGTCTGTTTTTGCCTAATTGTATTACCTATCTCCTCCTGTGAATGTAGTAGAGGCTGAGCACTGGTACTACCAAGGAAATATAAGGTAACCAWGGGGTTTCAACCCTACCCCTATTTCACTCTCAAAGGCAGAACCCACTGTGTCTCTTTCTCCTTCCTTTTCCCCACCTGCATATGTTGTGTGACTAGGAGAAAACATCAGTCATTTATCCAGCACTTTCAGGGTCAGGAAGCCTCACTGAGGTAGCTAACATGTGCCCGAAGTCTGGAATTGCCAGGCATGTGGCCAGGCTGCTGGCACAGACAGACCGTGAGGAGCATGTTTCTCCCACAGGCTGCTGCAAAGTTAAGTTTGGTCACACACCTTAAGCTGGCTGGTCTAGCACATGTATTTCTCCTGGGAGATCTAATCATTTGCTACCCCTTCACTGTAATGAGAATAGGACAAGCTGCACAGGGCACCCTCCTCCACTGCACGCTGAGGAGGCCGCCCTGATCTACGATACAAGGTCAGGCCTGTTTTCACTCCCGCCACCTCCCTCAAACAAGTAGAGGAGTAGCAGCCTTGCAGCAAAGCTCCTTATCAGGTAGGAAGAAACCGTGACCGTCTGAAAGGTGACTGGGAGCAGCTTCCTTTACCTTAACTCACCTATGAGTYAGTCATTACATACCTGCACCATGAGAGTGCCGGGCTATGTGCTCCAGACCACAGGGGCTTTGGAAGGCCTCAAGACSCAGGCATCAGACTTGATAATACATATAGCAAGCAAGTTAGAGCAGAAGCCTCAGCCAAGTGTATACCCTAGGAGACTCTGGACACACAACTCTAGCAACTAAAAGATGTGATCACATTTATATGTGGAGGCTGTRTTTGGAAAGCAGTAACTCTGGATAAAGTTCTGGGTAACCCAGTCTGACTTGAGAGCTGGCTCTGCTTTTGACAGGGGGTTGGATTAGAGACCTCCTGTGGTCATTTTTAATCTGCCTTATCCTATAGTCCTATGATTTGAGAAAGCACCTTGGGAAACACTGGATAATAACTGTTTTTGAGATCCCAGTGCAAGCAATGATTACATGAGCAGAACTAAATTTAGGCCAGGAAACRCCAGGTACAAATAATAAGATCACAACATATATCATTACTGAGACCGTTACAAGGACAGTGTATGCAATCGCATGTATTTAGAAAACAACACTGATAAGTTGGAAAATGTTCAGTAAAGAGCTACAAAAATCACTTGAGGCTAGAAAACCCATTTTGCTGTGAGAGCAGAGACTATCATCTATTTATTTTAGCACACATTAAGTGAATTGATTTTGTTTGTCAGTTACTATCTTTCGGGCATATGATTTGTGACGGTAGATAACATGTCATAGCAAAAGTGTAACAAGATCTAGTGCCTAAAAGCTGGGGGACATTCAGACAAGAACTAAGAAGCAAATGTTACAGACTGAAGCTGATTAACAGCTGGCAGAAAATACCTGATGGCAGTAAGGACTTCCCCCACTCCAAGACTTCTCTTCAAGATCTTGTGACTTCTTGAAATATAAGCTTTTGCTCAAGCTGAAGCTGTAGCCTTCATAAGGAATTGCTTGGTGATATTCCAGGGAAGCCATATCCGGGGCAGGTCTCCATGGCCAGGTGGTTGCCGTCTGCTCTCCCAGCTAATTAGCCGTGAGGCAGCAACGAAGGCGAAACTAGGCGGCCTTGTTGGGACAGGCCTGCTTTAAGCCACCCTGCTCCTCGGCCAGGCCTATTAGCTCGGATAAGTGCCTGCATGGAGCAACGTGCAAAACTGTATCAGCGAGGCCCACGCCATCCGCACAGCCCCCTCAGCCCTGCTGGCTTGTATCTCCACAGAACATTCATAGCAAAGTGCCAATAGTACCTGACAGACTAAAGCACATTTTAATAAAACAATTTTTAAAATGCAGGAGTAGATAGGACCTTCCAGGGACCATCTAATCTCCTGCTGTGGCAGAAAACAGTATCACGCAATCTGGGTTCATACATTTATCAAACTTCRTCCTCAAACTAGTCAAGGATTTTTGCTCCCACTATTTTCACTGAAGCTGAACTTCATCCATGATGGTTCTTCCAATTTCCAGTCTAAATGTGCTCATGATTAATTTATGTTCATTTATATTAATACCAATATTGCCTTCCACTCTTTTAAAATAAGTTAAACTCCCATACTTGGTTAATCAAGTGCACAGCACCTTTAACTTCCCCAGAATTCATTCAACAAGTACRCAGGAACTCTGAGGTRAAACATTCGGTCCTTTGCGAATGAYAAATGTCCTAGCAGCACTGYRGATATGTTATTTCCTTATTAATCCCATTTATAAGAAGTTGCATCTACCTGCAAGTAGAGGAGGCTGTGGCTTCTTGTTCATTAAAATCTGAATTTTAAACACTGGTAATGATCTCAGTCTGCATTCAAGGTAGTCTGAATTTGAACATCCTTTCCTTTTCCTCCAGTGAGTAAAAGTATTAGTGTTCACACAGAACTGTAAAGACCACCATTTTACTGCATTTTCCTCCTGCCTGCTTTCTTCCTTCACTTTAAAAAGGCAATATTTTAAGGTCTTTATCAAAATAAGATGGAGACTAACTCATTTTCTGGTTATAGGACTAGATACATAGAACACATCATGAGCTCCTTACACTTTTCTGTTATTTTCACAGCTCGGCACACAGAAACAGTACGAGCTGGGCCAGTATATACGGAGAAGATATCTGAATTTCCTGAGTATTGCATACAAACAGTTTGAGGCAAGTATTGAATCTGGAAGGGAAGTTGGTTTTCATRGATCTTAATGGGACTTTTTGGATGCATGAGAGTCTGAACCTGGTATGCTCTGAGTTCACCTCGTACCTACTGAACTCAGTGTGGCTTCAAAGTATCCCTGAAGCTGCTGCTCCACTTTTACTCAGGCTAATGGTTTAACTGAAGAGCAAGCACAGGAGGCTGTGTATGATGCTGTATATCAAGTTCAGCTCCCTCACTGTTGTAGGGCAGAGTATTTATCTTGCATCTCTCTTACATATCTGTCTCCAGAGTGGATGCAGCCTTGCTTTCATTTAGGTTCAAGCTGTTCAGCCCATCCATGTTGTCCCAAAGAAAGTGGAGGTGAAAGGGAGTCAGTCTGATGTTTTTCAGTAGGAATTCCAAGAGAACTGCAACTGTCTTGCAACTCCGTTGCACACCAAGTTTATATTCTTAGAAAAACTTCCCTAGGGAAAACTCCCTTTCTATCTCACGGTCTCTCTTTACCATCTCACCTCTTTACTCCTTTTTAATGCCATCTCTCCCAACATAGTAGCAGTCCATTTCTCTCCCACCAAGAGAAAAAAACTAACAGGAAAGATATTCTGACACTAAAAACCATAAATAATTTACTTTCTTTTCTTGCTTCAGATTTACGTTCAAAGCACTGATTGTGATCAAACACTGATGAGTGCTCAGGCATGTCTTGCTGGGCTGTACCCTGTGACACAGAGCCAGATCTGGAACCCCAAAATCCTTTGGCAGCCAATTCCAGTTCACACAGTGCCACTATCACAGGATAATGTAAGTACAAAATAGCAGCATTTGCTTTTTTCTTAGTCATTAGCAAAATACCTAAGATATGAGACAAGATGAAGGAGCAAGATAAAGGTGATGAAAAGTGCATTAAGTTACAAGCATTATGTAAAAAAAAAMCACTAATAAGCTAATTAGAAATAATGGCATAAAAGTTCTTATCTGGGAGTTGTGATAGCATGAAAGAGGATATGGAGATACCTGTCTTCCTGTGCATGCAGAGTCTGGTACAGTCAGGAGCTGTTTCAGATGGTGTCACAGATGGTGGTACCCAAGCAAACAGTCAAGAAGAGCTGGCTGGTAGCAACAGCACTAGCAAATTCAGCAAGCAGTTACTGTACCTTCTTTACATCCAGAGGAGATGTGAAAAAGTATCTTTTCAACCAAAGCACATGCTCACTAAATATTGGTAAAGTCATGCCTGTTTGTGAATATGGWTAGAATTCATAAACAGCTACCTGTCTTCTCAAATAGACAGATCTCCTTCCTAAAGAAAGAGGAGCTGCTGTGAAGCTTTTGTAGCTAACTATCTTTTCTGGACTCTCAGGTTCTTCTTAAAGCTAATCTTCTAACTGCAAGGCTATACAGATAGAGCTTTATTAGTGGGAAGGCAACAAAAAGCACTAAGAAAATATCAGTTTCAAATTTTGTTTAAACTTACGTTCAAAATTTAACGCAAAAAGGTTCAAAGAGGAATAAACTCAGTTTATGTCACAAAAAGGAATTTATAAATTCTTAAATCATTCCACCCATATAACCTGTAACTTATGGAAAATCTTACCTGAAATAAAGTTTTCAAATGTCTCAAATGGAAGACAAAACTGAGATACAGAAACTTCATAGGTTTCTATGAGGCAGTTAAGCTAACTGGAGCCATGATTAAGTCCACTTGCTATAGCTGAGTATGCACAAAATCTCCTATTGCAGTCCAGCTGTTGCATGGTAATTGGTTGCAAAAAGTTGACAGTATGTTTAAAGAAAGACTGAATACAAAGTAGTGAAATCATCCCCGAAGAAGCCAAGTACAAAGCAGTACGTGAGGGCTTGTACTAGTGGTGAATTGTCTTGTGTGAATGAACAAATCCTTTGAACTACTACCGCTATTACCCTTCTTAGCATTTAAAAATTCTTTTGTAGCTGGTCATAAGTATAATTTGTATGGTCCTAAAGTGAACATCCTTGAACAGGACATCCCCATGTTATTTTTCAGCTTGTCCTAATGAGTGCAGCCAGTCAGAACTACAAACCTGCGAGCATGCAGTACATTGCAGAACAAGATGGATGTTGCCTAACTAATGTTTTGCAATTTTCGTTTCAGTTGCTATACTTACCTTTCTCACATTGCCCAAAATACAACGAGCTTCTGAGAGAAACCTTTGCAACACGGGATTTCCAAAGACAGCTCAAGCACTACAGAGTAAAGTATTTTCAATTATGTAAATCTTATATCTGAAATGTACTACTCCTGCTAATATCATCCAATATATAGGTCCCCAAAATGGCAGTCATTATTGTCCTTCTAAAACTCTGATCTTCAGAGTGGGTGTAGGCAACATACCAAAAAGAAAGCCAATTACAATATCAAAGAGCCAGCTGGACTGGGCTATCCCTATCCATTGAAAATTGTAGTCATAGAAAAGATAAATTATTGACTATGTTGTAAAAAGCTATCAATCCATCAATCTTCTAGAAGGGCAGACACAAACCAAAAACTCGGAGCAAATCAGTGTCCAACCCTTTTCTTTAGTCTTATGTTAGCAACTCCTTCTCTGACACATCTCTACATTACTCTCCGCTGGTTCAGATTCCTCTTCTCCCACAAAACCCTCATGGCTCAGCTGCCTAGATTTTTTCTCATCATCTCTAAGCATTCTTCCATTACTTGTCATGTTTCATAACCCAAGTCTTCACTCGGGTGCTCACGCTTCCTCCTCCCTCCATAGTATCCCTCCACATCAAACCCTTTGCTATGACTGTGTAAGCACTAAGCACTTGTGTACTGCAATTTTCTTTTTTTTTTCCCCACAGGTTTATTCAAATAGCACTACGAAACTCACCTGTCTTTCTACCATCTTTAACAACCTACTGATCTCTGCTATCTATTGCTGGCTCTACATCTGGGCACTATGCTAAGCACAATTCTTGCTTTTACCCACTTGTCACAATTCTCAGTTTTACCTTATCTATGCGGTTCCTCTCTTCTGCTTAGTACCAACATCAGAGTGATTATGCTTATCACTGTCCTTTTCATCTCTTTCCACTGTCCTTTTAAGCACTTTTTGGCTTTCTGTCAGACTTCCTCATATATCTGGATCCCCTTTACTACTCCGTCTTGAATACTCCCACCACACAGTTCCCCTATACTTTGAATCTGAATTCAGATCACCATCCTTCTTTATACAGAATAGGCCAAAATTTTTTAGCAGCACAAGAAAAACCCTTCATCTCTATAAAAGGAAAAGCTGGTGGAATACATCAGATGTGTCCAATATCATAATTTCCCCAAGGAGAGTTAAGTGGTTAGGAATCTAGTACTAAGTCCATGACATTCTGTAGGGCTGAATCCATAAGTGTTGAAGCTGTGAACTTGGAAACTCAAGAACAGGACAAATGCAGGAAGAAGATCGACTAGGTTGTTCTGGGAAGGCACAGGCCAATGAGAAATATGGGCAAAACGGTTGGAGGCATGAGCAGGAATGAGGACAGGTACCTTCCTAACTGAAGAGGCAGGATGGCAGCTACGGCCAGAAACCAGGATAAAAGTAAGTTTTCACAAGCTCTTTAAGAAGTTTTGTGCAAGCATTTGTTTGGTGTCTGCCAGATTGTTACAAGATTAGGGTATGAGAGAGAAGGGAGAGGATTCACTTGTACAGGAACTGACCGGGGGAATTGCAAAAACTATCTTCTTTTTTCTTAAAAAAAAAAATGCAGGGTGAAGGAGTGCCACAGGCCCTGTGTCTCACTACAACTTCTTTTTGTCTTCCAGCCATTTCTCAAGTTTTTAGCCACTCATGCTGGATATCCATTGAAGAAGCTGAACACTGAAAGAATTCAGAAGCTCTCCGAYACTTTGCAATATGAGGTAAATAGCATAAATTCCTGAGGCTAACAGAAATACTTACAGTTTCTCTAAATCAGTTCTATCTCTTATTTACACGGTTTGCAAGATACTGAAAGCAGGTAAGTCTGTGATTCCTTTTTTTTTTTTGGGTACTGAATCACAGACAATTTTCAGCTTCCTCTCCACAAATCCTCATTCATCATCAAACTTGCAACTGAAAATCCTGCACACACTGTGACTTTGTAAGCCTGCTGTGGGCTGTCCATCTCTACAAGAAGCTCAGGCCACAGCCTACTAAATCCACTGTCCTGCCAGTGACTGCATATTGAAACTTAGCCAAAAGCAAGCTGGGCAAACTTGCCTTGTTACTCTTCCAAACCCCATCACAGAGGTATAGGGAAATAAAATACGTTGTTGGCAAAGAAACATAAACATCCTTCCACAAAACCTTTATGATCAAGTTGCATAAGCAAGAAAAGTCATTATTTGCATTTGGACAGAGGAGACAGGATTGTTGGGAATTAAGAGGCCTTTAGAAGGACATAAAAGTTTGCACAAGACTGGGAGGCTATTCTAAGAACACAGACAGGGCATATCACAGAGAAACATTAATTTTACAACAAGGAGGTACTTTGATGCTTATCTTTCATGCTCTCTGTCCTACAGGGAGGTATTAGATTATCAGAAGCTTTACTGAAGTCTTTAACTCTGACTTGAATATGCAAATATCCTAAGTGTCCTTAATTTAGCAAGAGGCCCCACTTCAGCTCTAAGGCTGTATTTACCTCCACTGAAGTAAGCCAAAATTGCAGGGACTTATGTTAAAGATGCTTTGTATATTGTTGCAGGCAGCACTTCCTACAAGCACGTGACAATAAGCTTACTTGTAAACTCATTGTTGACAAAATATTGACAATAAATCGCTTAAAAAAACAGAGGCAATTTTCAGGGGGATTTCACAAGCCACGTGTAATATTTGGGTATGATACTTAAAAGCTTACCTTCTGTCCTGCAGTTTCTGCAAAGACCCAACTTTGGTCACTCCTGTCCTGAATGGCACGCTAGCCGGGAGCTTAAGTTCAGGGCATTGTGTCAGGACACCTCGCTGCCAATTCAGCGAGGCCACCTTTCCATACTGTCCAAATGCAGAACTGCTCAAGATTACAAGATTTTTCTGCAAGTGTTACTTAGAGAAATGTCCCTCTCACTACAGAAGTGTACAAAACTGTAAGCTGCCATCAGGGAGCTGTCTAAATGCTCGAAGACAAAGTTGGGTTGTTTCCTCTAGTACTAGATTGGATGAGCCTTGGTCATCCSTATTACTCAGTGGAGACTCTGGAGGTATAAGTTAGGACACCTGGCATTTAAAAAAAAATAAAAAAGCAAAAGGCTATTACCACTCTTACCCTAACAAGCATACAAGAAGCAACTTCCTATGTATTTTTTTCAGACATGAAGCTACAGAAGGGTTCATCTCCCTGCATTAGTTATTATTGGCTATGTGCCATCTGACTTTCAGATAACTTGGAGAATTTTGTTAAGAGAAAAAGCAATACATTGTGACCTGAGCTGGTTTAACCTGACATGTTCTATTGTTTCACTTCTTTAAACAAACCCTGGCAGTGAGTAGCTGGCCTTTTCTTTAGCACTCATTGTTATGAAATGCTCTCACTTGAGCTCAGTGGCCAAGCCCAACCATTCCAACAGGTTACTCTGAACTAGAGGGAAGATAAGGATTTTGTTTCAACAGGGATACAGCGCAGTGCAAACAAGCAGTGGCCGGCAGGTCTTTCTTTCCTTTGCACAGTTGAGACCATTAACATATCCCAAGCTACTTCCCTAAGGAAAAACGAATGGGTGCCCCCTTTGTTTAAAGACTGAGTCAGAAGCTCATAGAGCTGACGTAAATAGATACAAATTCCATCTATATGTCTAACCCCTATGCATTTACTCCAGTACATTCAAATTGCAGCAACACATCTTCCTGCTTGATCCATGGATCTTCCTCATTTCTCAATGCTGCTGACTCTTAAAATCTTGATGTTTAYATGGGAATTCTTTAAGTAAAGATTTCAGGATATAGTCCAGTAGATGTATGAAGTAGAAAGAGTCAGAAGACATTTGCAACTGACAACTGAATCAGCAATTGCCAGTCACCTTTTTGCATAACAGCTTTTAGTATTGTATTTCCTCTATTGTTGAACATTGCCATTCAAATTCGTTTTAAGCAATGTAAGAATTACACATAAAATATGTAATGAAAAATATTGTCATTATTTTATCATAAAATGAAGAAAATCTTTTATTTCAGTGGAAATAAAATCAGAATTTTCTCTGACAACAATATGTGCTAGAATAAACAACAGCCAGCAGAAGGAATCAGCAAGAAAATCACCATATTTTCTTTCTTCACTGTAGGATATTCACAATTACACTTTACCTGTGTGGGCTACTCACGGTGTCAGGACCAAGCTGATAAAGCTCTCAGAATTTTTATTACAGGCGGAATTTGGGTTTCACAAACAAGTACAAAAATCACGGTTACAGGGAGGTAAGCTGAATTCTTACACTATTTAAAATCAAGAACACAACAGGAAATCAAGGGTGCGTAATGAACCTTGCCATTGACTCCATAGTGGAATTATGAAAGATGTCATAACATGGATATTGATGATCAGCGCTGAAAGATATTGACTAATGGGAAGAAAGATGGTGATGACTCATGAACAACCTAATTTAACGTTACAAAGAAGGTATCATTTGATTACATTGTGCAAGAAATCCAGAAGTAAAGTCTGAAGTTAATGTAAGCTGCCTTGTTTAACTTACGAAATATTTACTGCAATAAACTGTAGCAGTTGTTGCTTAAGAGCTTCATATTCCATTGATGAAGTACTAAAATGACAGTATTAAAGCTCTTTCTAAGATTTTTTCTGCTCAGCAGATAGTTTCTSAAATTTGGGGATTAAAAAAGTAGTTTATAACTTTTTAATCACTTATTCACCCTTCCCTCACGCACTGCCTTTTGGTCTAATCTTGATTTCTATGGCTGTGTTCAATCAGATTCTTTAAGCCACAAGGACAAATTGCAAATAAGCCCTGATTAACTTGTTTGCTTTTTTTGGAGTTCCCAAACACACAAAACTAAATGCAAATTTCAAACCTCAATCTAATTGCTATTAATTGCTGCTAAAAAAATCTGCCAGTAACTGAAGACAGCAAGCGTGCCGATTCCACTAGCAGTGCAGTCCTCATTTTAGGATTCTTCTTTGTGGCAGATTCCAACTTTCTGTTATTACTGACACTGATTTAATTCATACAGTTTGTTTTACAATTTTTCAGCATTTGGCTTTAATAAAGTACAAACAACCAAATGATTTATGAAGGCATCTAGTTCTAAGAATTTTTTTCCTTTTGTRTCTCTGGAGACCAATGGAGTTACACCAGACAGAGGGCGATACTTATTGCTGTCTTGCACAGTCCTGGGGGCACAAAGCAGCTGTAGGGACACTGCTTAACACTCTTGAGACTACTAGGGAATCCCCAGATATCTTTTAGGGAAGCAAAATCAGGCCCACTCTTCATATAAATCAGGCCCACTCTACATATAAAAGGCCGTATCGATCTTACTAGGGCACTATGCACAAATTAGCTATAAAATTAATTGAGTAAATCTGGCGTGTTTAAAGATTACTTCATTTTAAGATGGTAACAAATGATACAAGAATTAATCACAAGCATCTCTTTCAATCATTGTCACTGCTCTCCAATTTTCTTTCAGGTATTCTTCTAAAAAATATCCTAAAACATATCATAGATGCTAGAAAGTCTGTAAACCAGCAAAAGATGCTTATGTATTCTGCGGTGAGTCCTTTCTCTTGTTTTTATGTTACCTTTTCGCAATTATTAAATGCAGTGAAAGACACGGAACTTCATTTCCTGCATGAAATACAGCCATAAGTGTTTGGTCTTGGTTAATCTTAAGTATCAGTGGATTATTTTCATGTCTTTAATGAACAGATACTACTTTGAAACATGCGGCATTCCATTTTTCACCTGAGGTTGTGGCTTATTTCTTTGTATACTGTTTTGACTGAGTAGATATTTCAAACGCCAAGCATCAGGTTTTATTGAACTGTATCACATGGATGATTTAGAAACAAGCCTCCTGCTTCCTGTCTTCTTATCAGATGATAAAGAAAAAGCTCCCATGTCTAAATTGCGGTTAGATTATCAGAAGTAGTATCAGAATATCAGCCGAAGAGTTTTCTGATGTGATATTGGAGGCTGTTTACTTAACATGCAAAACTGCAGGCTCTTATTAAAAAAAGTTTTCATAGCTCCTACTGACATTGAAAAGAACTGCACATGCCTACGGCTTCTTAACTTCTTCCACACACATATGCTTTATTCATTCACCATTTCAGTTTGCACATACAAAAAGGACAGTATTTGGTCAATATTTCACGCAGCACAGGGCAAGAATTAATGCCAAGTTAGTGTACAAATGAAGTGCTGGACATGTTAAATAGTAACTATATGAAGTCATTTTCAGTATGCCTTTAATGGAAAGGTTTCTTGTATTTACAGCATGCAGCCACTATTGCGGCTTTACAGATGGCACTCAATGTCTTCAATGGGAAACTGCCTCCTTACAGTGCCTGTCATTTTTTTGAACTTTACCAGGAAAAAAATGGGCAAGTATCTGCAAAAGTCTGTATTGAAAAGCATARAAAGCCATGTACTTTTTCTAAAAGGCAACTTCCTGATGCCCCAGACTAATTAAACTGGATACACACAGTTCACAGATGCACCAAAAAAAAAAAAAATTATAGATAATTTTAATTATTATATTGGAGTCAATTTAGTATCTACGGAAAGCAGCAGCATTACAGCACCACAGCCTGAAATCCCTTATATATTGCTTCAGTACAGTTAGGAGAGGTTTTGTCCACTGTTGATCTGTTTTACTTCATGACTGGCATCCAAGATGATGAACTGTATGCACCTGGTATTGACTTATTGGTTAAAATAGATGTACATTTTCAGTGTACTCATGTTACTATTAACAGCAGGACAAATAAGCCTCATCTCTAAGTACAATGACTGCAACACAGAAATATGTCATGGGTGATTTTGCATGCCTAACTGTATTTTCTAATATSTTTGTGTATTTTGAATCAGGCAATACACCATAGAAATGTACTATCGGAATAATTCTTTGAGAGATCCTCACCCACTCACCCTGCCTGGCTGCAAATTCCGCTGTCCACTAGACAGATTTACCCAGCTGGTCTCACCAGTCCTAGTACAGCACTGGACAAGAGAATGTAGGAGTAAGGTATAAAAAGAGGTAAGTTAGATGCTTTGAGCACAAGTACTCAAAAGTAAAGTCAGGATTACACCTTCTCCTGCCAGCGGATCATTTGAAGTAACAATCTTTTTCAGAAGGGTGTGATCAGAAAGAGAAAGATATTAGATTCCCTCCTTTGGAGAGGAAACCATGTAGCTAACCAAGTAAACAAACAAACAAAAATCTCAACCTTATAATCAAAATTTGCTAWTAAGGAAGGCCCAATTGTTTAGCCTCCAGGTTCAGGGCAAGGGCTACACATTGCTTYGATTCTCAAGTCTTGCTGAAGTCAAAGTCAGATGGAAGTCAAGTCTCCTATGTTGAGTCCAGCACCACTTCATGACTGCTATTATTAATACTGAGAGCACAAAAATCATATGGGTCATGGGCATTGCTTATGGCCTTAGAAGAGGGAGAAGTGTGGAATTAGGGAGTTTTTGCTTCTACAGACCTGCTTCTACAGTAGGAGTCCAGTATAAATAAAGCCACGTGCTAAGAACTGTTCTATGTGTCTTACCTTTAGGTATTCTCTTGAGACCTTCAGGGTGATCAGCTTTATGAAGCAATTCCTCCCACACCGAGATGTGACTGCAGCCTGTTTTCTCATTAACTTCCATCAGCATGACCAGCAGCGTCCCGATCTCTATCAGAAGAAAACATTTCTCAGTACAACAGATTAAAACTATACCGAGTGCTGACTTATCCTTTGCAAATGCTGTCCTTATTTTACCAAGTGCTGAAACCCAAGTGCAACAGGAAACCAGAGTAATTTTTCAAGTTCTGTTTATTTCAGCATGACTTTGGCAGGGCTAGTTCAAAAACATAATTTTGGTTATATTTTTTTCAAGAGTTGTAGCCTTCTTTTGCAGCAGAAATGGAAAATATCTGAGGGAATTTTACCCACTTAAGAATGAGATAAGAACTTCCAGAACTGGTGAGGGAGGCAGTTTTATATTGACAGGAGTCATTCCATTGTCCTCCTACTATATTTTATTCAAGAAATAATGAAAGATTTTACACAAACAGATCCTGGAAACTTCAAAAATGAGAGAAATTGTTTAAATTGCTTTTTAATATTATATTTCAATGGCAGCATCACATGAAAATAAAACTCCCTTCTTTCACTTACAATGCATAGACAGTTGAGCCATATATTAACAAAGGTATATGTTATATCTGAACAGTCATGAATGCTGTATTTTAAGTGACAGGTACTTCATAATATGTTCACTGTTTTACCTATCATATGTAGAAACAATCTCAGCAAGATAGGGAATGAGCAACAACAGGAGTTCGATGCTGCCCGGTTCATGTGGYACATGTTTGGCCAGACTATGATTTTGTTATTTTCTCCTCTTCCTTCTCGGTTTGGGTTATTTACTGAGCTGACTGATTCATTAAATAGAAAAATAAATAAATGAGGTTTCAGAATGAAAAACTGTTATTTTTGCTAACTTTTTTTACAGATATGGGACAAATTCATTGAATGATTTTGATTTGTTCCACAGGATTGATATAAGTAGTAGTTTCTTCTTTTTATTCAGTGCTCGAGGCACTTACCCAGGATGTGGTGGACATAAGTTCAAATCCAAACATATATATATATATTTTGGTTTTAATATATACATTATATATATGTATACATACACACATATGTATATTTTCCCTTTCTGGAGGCTCAAAAAATGAACAAAATGACTGCAAATTAATCCAAAGCAGTTGGTGTGCTGAATTACAGAAGTGGTCCTTGGCAGTACCTGAACTCTTTCCCGCTGTGAGCAGCTGGTCCCTGAGTGCAGCAGCAGTTCCATCTCCGGCTGCTTTGGCTGCCACGGCTGCCATCCTTTCATGGGGTGTAGGTCGCCCTCCACCACGGGCACTTAGCTAGAACAAACTTTATGTAGATTAGGGAATGGCTTTTTGCAACTAGTCCACTTGCAAGCCAAATCAGCTATGCTTCAGCAAGCCTTCCAAATAGAGGCTCTAAAAATCGAGGCTCTAATTGTATTTAAACTAATCTCACATAAAGCCTTAAAAATAACAACATACCCAAATTAGCATAAAATTATTTAAATTGTTTTGTATTTAAGAAATTAAATATAGTTGTGGTGTGGTACATTTCTAGCTACTAAAAGCACAGTAGAAATGGAAGTCTGCTCATATCCCAGATTAGAATGAACATGCAAGACCAAGAAGGTAGGAGCCTTTCAATACAACACATGCAGGCAATGCAATTACAGATCACTTATAGGCTACTTACAGCATCCTCTTATAACTGGCATGACACATGAATGGAGGCATTCTCCCATTATGGAATGCACTGGGATTTATGTTAATTACTRTATTACCTGTTCTTCAGTAATTTTTGCCATGTACTGTATTACCTGTTCTTCAGTAATTTTTGCCATTAAAAAGATCTCTGTGCCAAAGGGGAAGCATGACGCCACAGAAACTTAAACTATTTATCATATGCTTAGTGTTGAGTTGAAATTTCAGTTTTTAAAGATGTTAGCATTTTTTTCTATAAAATGCATTTGTCATTTCATGCATGTCATTTCAAACATGAGTGCAAGTGTAACTCTTGAAGGATGCTGTCCACCTTAACAAAAAAAAGTTATGTCTAAAGTGAAGGTTCCTAAGAAGGTTCTATAGCAATACCATAATAATTCCCAAACTACGGTGTGCCTGCCTTCATTAGTCATGATCACCCATCACAGAGCCATAACAAAAGAGTAAACCTTACATTAACTCATCGGTTATGAGTTTTATAGTAAGGGCTCAGGAAGGTGCAGAAAAAAATTCTTAGAGCCAACAGACTCCTTGATTCCAGAAGCTTGGGAACCACTGGTCCAAAAATCTACACAGGCTGATCAAGTCTGGTATCCCTGCTTGACTTTTGATGCATATTAAAACGTTATAAAGGAGGTATACTCTTATACTCTTAGATTTTAGGTGAAGAGGATAAACTTACATTTCTTTTCAGAAGTATTACACATTTATAAAGCATGAAAGACTCTCTTATATCATCTCCATAGTCACCATCCTGTCAGGAAAGAACAGAAAGGAGGATGAGGAAGTAACAGTGAAGGAAGAAAGAAGTTCAAATGAGTGCTGAAAAAATAACTAGGCATATTTGGGGATTTTCATCTGGAAAACCTTTATGAATTCTTCTTATTCTTTTGTACAAAGAAGAAATTGGAGTAGGCCAGCTGGCCAATTTGCTCAAACACAATCAGCCAGGGGCAGAATCAATGTTCTTAATCAGTAATAACGAAAATAGGCACTCCAGGGCCTGATCACRTAGGATATCATAGCAAAATGAGGTCAAGCAAGAAACTTGACAGAAAGCATTACAAAAGGGAGAGTAAAGGGATATTCCAATGGAAAAGAAAAGCAACACACACAAAATATCCCGGAAAGCAGCTTAAAGAACATGCCAACAACCAGCGTTTTTTAACTGCTGTATCTGAGGTCCTGGTAACTCTACTGCTTTAGCAGAGGAGTAGGTAATGTTAAACTAAATGAAGTGTCATTTAAAAAAAGTGTTCTGATTTGGAAGAGGAGGCAATATAGAATGGGAAAGAAGGGATATAAAGGGGAGGAAGGCTGAAAAGAAGGAGAGGAGACAGACTATCTGACTGGCAAAGAGAAAAAGAGAAAGCCAGTTTGTCTGTCTCTTGGCTCCAAGTTCAGCCTCTTGGCTGYAATGCAATCTGGAAAGAGTCCAAGCTCTGAGAGCAGAAAGTGAGCAGGTAGGCTGAACAACTTGCAACTCCGTTGTATTTTAACCCTCGCCCTGACACTGCAAAAGTGAAAAATATCACCGAGAAAGAAGAATTGAGTTATGATTTCATTAAGCAGAATGTAAACAGTAATTTGCAAACAAAGGAGGATGAGTCGCCTTGCGTAAGCGCAGCACATTCTTGCTGCACTTAAAATTCACCAGCGGCAGTTCCACCCCTTTGGAAAGTCAACCTTGGTGCCTGGGCTGCTCAGCCGGAGCAGCTGCTGGAGCTGCTGGAGCTACCRAGCCTTTTTTTCATCGGCTGCCAAGATGGGAGTGACATGGCCTCCCAACCGATCTGGGCTGCTGTGTTTTGCTTTTCTGATCCTCCTCACTCTGTTTCAGCAGACTGCCGCGGAAAGGGAACTGAAGTTTGTGGTCGTAGTAAGTAGATGGGGTTTCTGTTTCACTGCAGGGAATGCTGCAAGTTGGTGGTGGTCTCGTGTTGAACAAGGTAGGCAACTGCTTTGTCTCTCTGTGGACTTGGAARGAAAATCTACTTCTGCCCCCTTGCTTGCTGAATTTAAGGACTTCTTAAAGAACATAAAATGACTGGAGTTACAGAATTTTTCATCTACTAACCTCCCGTTATCACTTCAAGATAACTTAACTTCTTAGCTTTGTGGTGGAGTCATGAGATCTGAGGTCTCGCTAACCTCTTCCTGCCCAGGTTAGCAGATACTCAGTTGTACAGCCTGAGATTTGGCGATTCTGGCCCACCTTTGTGCTTGGAAGTCAAATTTATTCCTGGTATAGGGTGTTCTGCGATTTCAAAACAGAAGTTGCTATGACAATAATTTTCATTTCAGAACAGCTGAATTGGCAAAGCAGCGTAGTGGAAAGCAGAAAATGGCATTTTGAGAATTGAGATACATGTTGTGTTTACTACAATTAATTTGAGAACCGACTGTTAACAGTTTTTTGGGTTTGGACTGTAATAGTGTTTTTGGGTTTGGACTGTAATACTCTTTGGACTGTTATTGGTTTTAAAGCAACTAGATATCTTTTTGGCATCAGTTTTCCCAATATCTCAGGTTAAAAAAAAGAGAGAGATTAACTCAGTGAAGCAATTTAGATGGTGAAGGTTGTATGGTAGCCCTTTTCAGCCTTATTTCTTTTTTTAATTAAAAAAAATACTGATAAAAATATTTAAAGTGATATTTTCACTTTAAAAAGTGTCCAAATATACCTATGGAGTCACTGTCCCTGGCAGTGTTCAAGCATCATGCAGATGAGGCATTTGGGGACTTGGTGGGGATGGCTTTACGGTTGGACTCGATGATCTTGAAGGTCTTTTCCAACTATAATGATTCTATGAGCTAGCCCCAGAGAAGCTATTTCACTTTGAATTGTCTGTTGCTGCGTTAGGTAGATGTGCCACTTGGCGAGACGCGAGCACACTCAGGAAAAACTGGTTCCTACTCCTGCTTAGCCTCACTCTTGGACCAGATACTACATGATGCAGGAATTCAGCTCTACTCGTTCTAGTCATAACATTCTATGGCAGTATCCTTAAATGTTATTCCAATGGTAAGAGAGAGGCCTGCACATATAGGTGATATCAGGCAGTCAGGATGCCTTGGAGGATGAATTCTCTGAAGGGAATGCGGCTCCTATCGAACTGCAGTGCTCTGTCAAATGCTGGTTCTGCAGAACAAGTGGCAGGAAATGACATCACAGAAATAAAGAGTCTTCCTTGACAAAACCAGCTTTCTCATCACCTATTAAAAAAAAAAAAAAAAAAAAGACAGGACTTATTTATAGAAGGATTTACTATA